TAGAAAAACTCTTATAGAAATTCAAGAATACGGAATTATCACAATTTATGGGATATCAATCCACAAATAAACATTTCACAACAATACTATAAACAATTGCAAAAATGTCAATTTTTAAATAATAAGGCAGTCATTTGCACATGAATTTTACAATGTCTAAATATTCAAAACCATAGAAAGAAATATCACAATTTTACTAAAAGCAGAAATATCACATTTATTTCTAACAAACAAACAAGAAAAATAAATAAATTTATTTTTCTAATTTACAGCATTCAAAATTTCTAACATAGATAAAATATCACAATTTTTATTAAAAAGATTATTTTTCAAGATAATGAGGTCACGTGCGCATAAAATTTATCGAGCCTAAAATTCATGATAATAAGTAGAAATAATTATTTCATTTCATTTTTAAAAAGAATGGATTATTTTTCGAGACAATGGGGTCACTTACACACAAAACTTATAAAATAAAGATCCTGGACGGAAATATCACTATTTATTAAAAACAGACTATTTTTCAGGAAGACGATGTCACTTACCTAAAATATTTGAAAAGGACCTACCGATAAGAATTCGGCTAGAGAGAGAGAGATAAGAGGCCTTAGACCAGTACACAAGAAAAGTATTGTATTGTGCACATATACCCCTTTAATGAAGAAAGCAAAGGTTATTTGAAAAAAAAAACGAACAAGAGTTGGTTTCCTCGTACTCGGAAAGAAGTTGCAGAAACCATAATAGGGGCTAGGGTTTTAAATGTTTAGAGAGAGAGAAAGTCCTCGTACACAGAAAGAAATTACAGAAACCATAATAGGGGCTAGGGTTTTAAATGTTTAGAGAGAGAGAGAAGGACGAATAAAAAGAAAACACCTTAATGCAAGGTGTTGATTAAAGGAGTGTTGTTGTAAAACTTTAAGGTGGTGGACCTAAAGTCCACCCAAGTAAAATTGAACCCTCAAATATATTAACAATAATATCTTTTATTTATTGTTAATATAAAAGCAACAATATCCTAACAGTATATTAGTATTATTATTATTATTATCATTACTAATATATACTTATTATTTTATTTATTTATTTATTTTTATTTTTTTTTTTTGTATTTATTTCTGTTAACAACATTAATATTATTTTTATTATTATATATGTATATTTTTGAAAGTTTAGGATTGTTACACCACATCAGAATCATATTCCCTTCCTGGAGCAGTTGCTTCAGGGCCTTCAGCCTCGTCAGTCTCCTTCAGGGCCTTCAGCCTCGTCAGTCTCCATCGGAGCTGACTCTAACTCAAGAACTACCCTTGGACTTAGAGGTGCCTCCCCAAGATCTGGAGTCATTTCCTGGTCAAAAGTAATAACAATGGACTCAGAAGGGCTGGATTCGTTTGCTTCAGTCACTGAAGAAGAAGAAAACAATTAAGGAGAGACAGAAGATGGTGGAGAAAGTGCAGAAGGTGACACTGGTGGAGTTGCTAAATGATCAGAGGAGGAAGAGCTACCTCATGGTTCCCAGATCACAGGAAGTTTAGCGCCCCTACGTCTTCGAGTACACCCACCAACTTGAGCCGGTGTTCGAGTGCCAGTAGGGGTAGGTCGTTTCCTTTTCTTTCCCCCTGCCGAAGGAGGAGCAACTGCTTCAGAACTCCGTCCGTGAGAAGGGCCTCTAGCCAGTCTACTATGAGGACCGCTTCTAATAAGTGCGTTCAAGTCCTGAATGGGATGCCCCTCATGACCTGGGACCTTTCGGCCCTCACTCCATTCAAATACGGAACTGAGTTTATCAAAGATGCTCCCAGTTCTCTGTTTCATGGCTAAAAATTGCGATGAGGTGTCATCGGCCGCTATCCCTCGAGGAATCCATAAAGCTTGTCAGTTTGAGGGATACTCCAAGACAAAGACCTCGCCAAGAGCATGAGTATCTGCCAGTATCCTCTCCCTAGTATTCTTATGCCAGTTGTTGTTCTCTCCTTTCTAGGGGTGATCAGAATCCCAGTATCCCCGGTTGGTAATTCTCCACCAGTTTGCATAGGCCTCAGTCATTCGGCTTCTACCAAAGTGAGGTAACACATACTTGCCGATCTTTGTCATTTTTAGATATATGGACCAAGCAGTTCGTTTATGTCTTGGAAACCAGCACTCATGAAAAGTCCCAAGCTCTTCCACCTTTCTAACGTTTACTTTTCCTTGACACTTTTTGAAAAACATGGAGAAGGGACAACCCTGATCGAGCCCATGCTGACGAGCGAAGAGATGGGGGAAATACCCTCTAATCTGGCACTGTGAGGAGTCTGATAAGGTAGAACTCCTCCTCTAATGCTCAGGATGAATATGAGCTCCCTAATGGTTGTTGGAGCGCCGCCCAGCTCCTTCCCTAATTCATCAATGAAAGCACGATCGGTGAAGCTCCCAACCGAAAATGGGATCTGTCGCATTTTTAAGGAGTCATTCCCAAACAAGCTCCGAGCTTCCCCTGGGGTATGGAAGATAGCCTTTTGGTCAGCAATCCTCAAGGGCCACAGTTTGTCCCCTGTGATCTGGCTCCTCACATAAGTGGCAGGGAAATAGGCCCCTAGCCACCCATATATGTAATGGATGGGGAATGGAGTCTTAAGATCCCCAGGAAATGGCTCTCACCCTACAATGCCATTCCCTCCATCTTTGCCTTTGTAAGCCTTTCCATGGGAGATGGCCCCCAAGCCATGGTAAATATTGCACAAAACTGGTTGAGCAAGGGTGTTCCCAAGCCCTCGTGCCATGTCACAGGCTACTTAGAGGGTGCCTAGACGAATGTCATCCTCCCCTCCAAGGAGCACAAACTTGCATAAAAATAAGGCCAATTATGCGGCCAAGAAGACACAATCATCGCTGGTCTCTGATTGATACACAGGAGGCATCCCCTTTACAACTGCCTTCCCTTTCCCTCTTGGAGTACCTCGACCGCCTTCAGGATAGTCCCCACAAAAGAATTTCACCCATTCGGTGAAGGTTACCTGACCATTGCTAGACTTGGCATAGACGAATTGGTAAATCTCGAAAATCTTTTGAAGACTGGCAGGCGGCTCTTCTTCCCCCAAGCTAGCACCACCAAAGATGACCGAGTTTTGAGGCATGAACTCGTCATACATGGCCCCAACCATTGGAAGGCCCCCAATAAAATGAAGATCTAGCAAAGAGATTCCTGCTTCCCCATGCCCAAGAAGCTAGGTATTGCTCATGTGACTTCATGTCTCAAGAAGTAAGCCTCATCTTTATGTCTAAGTAAATAAATATGCGATGAAATATATTTTCTCACCTCTAGTAAGAACATTATTTAAATCACATGTATTACTATCTATAAGTCCTAACAATTCAATATTTCTTTCTACTGTAGGGAATGATTTTCTACTTATCTTTGCTTGTGCACATACTTCACGCTTTTCCATCGCAATTAGAAGTCAATCATAATTAAACCAAATATTTAATTGAAGCAAAGTTAACATGTCCTAATCTACCATGCCACACATTGCAAGTAATCACAATACAAGCATAAGACTTATTTATTCCATTTACTAAGTCAAGTTTGAACATCCTATAATGCAAGAGTGACCCTTGCCAACATACATACCATTTTTGGTCATCACCTGGTGTGGTGGCCTCGGATTTTTAATATATGGACTGAGGGTAACATTAAAATAAAAAACAACAGACAAAAGGGATATTCATGTAATATACAAATATCTAGGGATTTTTGTAATTACAATATTCAAATGAGATATACATGTATATTTCTGTATACTTATTGTAAGAAAGTTTACGTAAAATTTTCCTTTCATTTTTGGAATTAAAAATATTACCATATATTTATGTTCAAGTCCCATTTTTTAGAGCATATTATATTTTAATTTTAAGTTTTTTATGTTTCACGTTAAATTCAATTTTGAGATGTACATACTTCTCATATTCCATCACTCAATATAAAAAGACATACAAATAATTCAAAATAAATAAAATTACAAAAATACCTTTTAATCATGTTGTGGCATTTTGGTTAATCTTGTAGGGGCATTTTGATCATTTTCTATCATTACAATATCATTCTATTTTTTAATAGTAAGTAATTAGTGATGGTGAGAAGTATGGACACCCCAAATAACTAAGGATAACATGATATATAGAAAAAAAAAATACAATATACACTAAAAAGTGGACTTGAGTGTAAAATGAAAAATAGAAAAATGTTGAGAAATTTACTGGTATATCTCATTTAAAAATTTTAAATATGTAAATGTAAAAATCCCCCTAATTTTTCTATATTAAGCTCATATTCCTTTGGGATTGTATACAATTTTACTTTTGACGAGGTCACAATTACTAAACAATCATCCGATGTGAAATCTAATAGCTTGGATGTGTCACAAAGTACAAGAAAATTTCTTTAGAAGTTTGAGCTTGGTCAATGGAATAAATGCAACTACCTTATTTCACATCCAATGGTCATGACTAATTGTGACCATTTTGTACCAAAGATAAATGTTCACATTGTATATATATATTTTTTATTCCTTTTATCTATCTTTTTATTTCAATTTTATGCTTTGCTCGGGGAGTTTGAATATCCAAAGTCACTCTTGACATGGGATTCTCAATATGTGAAATTCCAATGTTAATGAGATTTTCATGTAACTTTGGACAAGAGTAATTTAGGATTTTCAAAATCCGAACAGAAAATTACTTAAAAAAAGTAAGTAATAACTTTGGATTTTTAATCTCTATGGTAAGGTAAACTTAAAAAAAAAAAAATCGACAAAAGAGAAATGCACATAATCTACAAATATTTCTCATAAACAAATAACAAATATTTGAGAGATTTTCCTAATTATAATTTTTATAGAGGACATGCGGGTAAATTTCTCAACTTTTTTTTTTAAAAATCGAAAATAACTTTTTTCCACGTAAATTTCCCATTATTCAAAGTCGCTCACAAAGGGAAACCATTTCCCGCTTCCCGGTGTCAAAAGCGAACCCAGGAAGCGCACTCTTGCACAAGGGAGAGAGAGAGCGCTCTTTCCTCTTTCCTTTCCAGGTAAGGAAGGATGTTACTGCTCTTTTCTTTCAGTCATTATCCCTAATATATATAATATTGAGAGAGAGATGTTTTCGACATTCTTTGCTTCCGCAGGAGACATACCGAAAGCAAAGCTGAAAAGACAAAGGCGAAACTCTACTTCGTATCCAGCACTGCTCTCCACTTTTCTCTTTCTGCTTTTCTACTTCTTTATTCCTGGTATTCCATGGCCGATTCCCTTGTATATATGCCGTTAGGGAAGAAGGGAGAGAAGCATTTGTTGTTGTTGTGTTGTGGCCATGGCGAGCAGCAGTGGCACGAAGCCTCATGGCGAGGGCCCTGCTCGAATGCCTTTGAGGAAGGTGACGTGGTCGACAACAATGGTTGCTGAACCAAAGGAAGAAGTTGGAGGGGGCCTCGACAGTGAGAATGTCCCCTCCTCTCTTGCTTCCATTGTCCCCATTTTGCGTGTTGCCGATGAGATCGAGCCCATCAATCCACGAGTTGCTTATCTCTGTGAGTCCCCCTTCTCTCTCTCTCTTTCTCTCTCCCCACTCCCCTTTTTTAGTTGAGTGTGTAAACAGTGGTAGAAATTTGAGTTTGGTTTTCAACAAGGGATTTGAATTTGTTCTCTCTATTTCTCTCTGCGCATATGAGAAGGAGCTGATTAAAAAGTAGAGTTTGATTATTCGAGTAGGGATTTGAATCAATAATACCATACATTTTTTATAATGCGACATTATTATTTTGCTTAAGAAATTGAGGATTGGGTTCCTAACAGTGGATAAGCTTATATTGGTGATACCCATTCCATTTTTCTAGCTTTCTAATGGGTCGCTCAAGAAAATAAAATTTGTAATTGATCCCTTACAAATTTAGTGATTGTTGTCAAATAATCTGTGATTGTTTCAATAGATTTCAGATTGCTCTGAAATTCTGGGAAAAGCTCACTAATTATGCACATTTAGTCTATTCCTTTCTCATTCAACGTTGGTTCTATGCCTGAAATTATGGGAAATTTGATATTCAATGTACTTTTGTTTTTTTGAGAAATTTGATATTCAATGCATTCAAGTATAAACAACCAAAAGTTTGGTATCTGACTGTGACTAATTCTACTAATACAAAAATATGAATTATAGGTGCCATCCAAATGAACACAATTTATGAGAAATATACATCATACATATATGAGAACCAATATACATCATACATATATGAGAACCAAAGGGAATTCACTCCCATTTGAGCAGAAAAAATTGACATATGCACACGAACTAAAGCAACATGCTTTGCGGTGAAAGATGTTGAAATCATACTTAGAGAAAGGTGTTGAAAAACGATAGGCAATAGCTAAATAACTAGCGGGGAAGAATTTGTAGAAAATTAGAGAACACATTAAAGCCCTCTATCATGTTTGATAAATTGATTTCTTGTAGAAAAAATATATATTTTGATCAGCCTAGAAAAAGACGTAGTGATTGTCACATTTAAACCAAAGGGGAGCGTTTTGATTGTTTCTGACATAATTTATAAGTTATGAGTCCATACAACCTGTTGAGCAGTTCCATTCCTTAATCTCCTAATAATCCTTTGTAACTTGTGTACGGTCACACCTAAGAGGTTCACCCCAACTAAAACCACCTCTAGTTCAAATATAGGGGCTACGACCCCATATTTGGTGAATTGCAATTCTCTTAGGTTCTAGCTGACAAAGTTTCTGAAGACTTGAGGTTTTCAAATCGTTAAATTATTAAGGGTTTCATAAAATGACCTCAAATTAACTTCTCAAAAAAAACAAAAAAAAAAAAAAAGAAAAAAAAGAAAAAAAGAAAAAAAGAAAAAAAGAAAAAAAGAAAAAGAAAAAGACCTCAGATTAGCTTTTTAGTAAAGATTTTGTCTGTTTAAGGCATATTTGGTTGCAATTTGTGAACAATGCATAGTCTTTAGAGAGATTTGTTTCAATTTTTACATTGCGAAGGGAGATTTGGTCCTATTTTTATATTGATGTTCAGTCACCATGTATGGATATTGGGTTGTGACTTTATCATATTTATCTGGGGATCGCATGTCATGAGGTTCACACAATTTGAAACTTAGTCATATCGCTGGGGAGATTGTTGTGTATTCCAATTTAATAGATTTAAGTAACCTTCAGTATATTATTAACCTTGGTGAATTTGTGGCTTCCTACTTATATGGTTTACTCTTCTTTTAATATTGGAATTGCGAAAGACTTTTTTGGCTGCCACATGAGATTCAAGAAATTTTCACGCCTCTGTAAACTCTTCAGATATTAGTTCTTGCACTTGCTTTCATTAAATAAATGGGTAAAGCCCCTTCTCTATCTTCTTGGATCAATAAGGCCATGGCTCATCTTTCAAACGTTCAATTCTATATGGATAAAGAAACAAATGTCACTCCTAACAATATCCCTCTTCAAGTCCTGGGCATTTCTCACATTCATGTCAACCTTACAGACATTGCTCGTTATGTTTTCTGATGTCTTTCATGTTTTTACACTGTTTGCTTGTTGAAATTAGCTTTCTGCTATCTGTCTTCGACCATGGCTATTGTTTGGGACCTTGTAACTCGAAACATTATGGAGTGGCCAAAATGTTGGTAGACTGTTTTGCTCATGCCTGGATGATGCTCTGCCAACTACTAGATCTTTACTTGCACACTCTACATCTGAAATCAGTTGCATAAATATCCAGACGGTTCTGATAGCATTATCTAGGATACCAACATTCTGATTACCTCGTTTCTCATCTAAAGTGAAGTTTGTTTATCTTTTGCTACTCATGGTTGTTCTCTTATTTGGACAGTGAATATGAGAAATGTAAAACTAGCCAAACATACAATTGTCCTACCCTTTGTCCAGACAGTAGTCATGCACTTCATGCTTTTAATGTCTACATATAAGTCAATAGACTCCAACTATAGAGCAACTTTCTTGTCACTTTTGATTACCTTAAAAAATCGTATTAGTTTACTCTTACTCTTAGATCCTCCTGTGGCGAATGAATAACTAGCTACCTCCATTCACAACCACAATATTATTTTTGGGGAATTTTTTTTGCAAAATAATTCCTTTGTGATTGCTCCTAAATTCCGTGGAAACAACCCCTAAATTAGGATCCTCAATGAAGTAATGAAGCTTGAGATGTTGAAGAGCTTCGTCTTCTAATCACACTTGGGACTTGGCATCAAAATTGGAAGCTCTCATGGGGAGACCTATTCTGATCAAATGAGAATGGATAATTGGAGTAGCGCCGAGAGAGAGAGAGAGAGAGAGAGAGAGAGAGAGAGAGAGAGAGAGAGAGAGAGAGAGAGAGAGAGAGAGAGAGAGAGAGAGAGAGAGAGAGAGAGAGAGAGAGAGAGAGAGAG